GACTGAAACTCCTGCAAAGCCTTCATGCTCCCTATCTGTACATTGATCCTGCGTCACATTCTGCAAATATGAAACCTCCTTCAACAGAAACAACATGTCATGTAAACTACCACAGCCGTAAAAAAAGAGAAAAAATTATTCAAAAATGTTCCATCATGTCTCACTTAAACTGAACTGAAGTCAGTGTGTCTAAAAGTGTCTCTGCGTGTGGAGCCACAGTTGGAAAGTTTTGGGGCAGAAGATAACAGAAATAACCTGCGAGTTCACCCGTCCACATTATTGTGCGCAAGTATATAGCATTCAAACTTTACGGTAAAAAAAGGAGGAAAAACGTCCTGCACAAACAACCGACATCCACGTGAAACTCTACGCCGGAGCTCCGGTCAGGGCTGAGCCGGGAAAGCGGGAGCCAAAGAGCTGGGGGGGGGGCTTTTAAGTCAGTCGAGCAGCCGGGGACAAAGTGTCTGCTTAGCCCGCAGAAAACCGAAACAACCAGCGTCTCGAACAACCACAGAAACAACTGCGCGGTGTGTGTTATATATTTATATATATATATAACTCATGTTAACTAACGAAAGGAACTTTCGTTAACATGAGTCCGCCATGTGCTGCGGCGCGGAGGAAGACGAGCGCGAGAGGCGAAAGAGAGCGAGCGAGTTGCAGCGCGTCCGCGGACTCTATAGAACCGTCTATAGAGTCCATACGGTCCTCGGTGTACAGTAAGCGGGCTATAAGAGAGCTCGCGGAGAGCTCGAGCTGCAAAAGAAACACCGTTAAGAGAATTTTAAAAAAAGTTTGAAGAGCACACTCACCTGTGTTAAACATAGCGGAGAATACATATCTGTCGGATCTAATCTTAGATCTGGAAGAGGTGTGTGTGTTTGTTTGTGTGTGTGGGGGTGGGGGGTGTTACTGTAACTCCAGCCTGTGTGTATGTGTGTGTGTTTGCGCGTGAGTGTGCGCAGTGATGTGTAACGTGAAAAAAGGAAAGAACAGAAAAAAAAAAAGGAGTGAGAGTGTGTGTGTGAGAGAGAGAGGGGTAAATAGAGCCCTCCTTTTGCCCCCTTCGCTTTCACATTTCCAACCAGAGCTGAACTTTGACCTCCGCCTCGGGTTACATGTACTGTCCGGACCTGTTAGAGGCCCTCCGCCGGGGAGCGCACAACTTTCAGCCCAGACACGAAGAACATCTCCGGCAACAAGATGAAAAAGTCCCGTTAGAAAAGCCGAAAATTTCCACACAAATAAGAAAAAAAAAGAAAAGTCACAGGGAAGCCCTGTGTGGTGTCGGAGCCGGGGGGTTGCGAGGCAAGAGCGGCCGGTAGTGGTGGTGGACGGTGTAAATCTCCAAAACGTCCCGAAACTGCATTTCAAACCGCGGGAGATCCGCGGCGACCGGCGGACCTCGGCAACATGTCTATCCGTCCTGCAGCGCGCTGTGGCCGGCGTGCGGCGGTGCGGCTCCTCGGTGCTCGGGACTGGAGGGGCGCGGTGCAGCAGCAGCAGCAGCGGAGTCCCGGGAAAAGAGGACTGACCAGGAAGAAAGAAAGAGGCAAAACGGGATCCCTGAGCTGCCAGACGGCCGCCTCGCCTCTAAAACAACCGACAGCTGCTTTCCGTTAATTTATCTCCAACAGGAGGAGACGGTAAAGAATAGAGAGAGAGAGAGAGAGAGAGAGAGAGAGAGAGAGAGAGAGAGAGAAACAGAGAGCGAGAAACAGAGAGCGAGAGAGAGTCGGTGTGTTGTCCCGGACGGAGAGCGGAGCGCCACCTCCTCGCCGCTCCTCATGCCTTTTCTGCTGCTCCGAGCTCCGGGACCTTTACTCGCTGCTCCGCCGCCCGGACTGCGTCGGTGTGTGTTTTTGCGTGCGTGCGTGCGTGCGGGCGCGGGACAGTGCGCACTGACCCCTGCAGAGCTCCAAGTGATCACACACTGCTTATTGATCAGAAAGAAACGCCATCGATCCCGCTCACGCAGTTTCACAAACAGGATCCGGTGGTTATGCTGCCGCTGCTGCGCGCGTGTGTGTGTGTGTGTGTGTGTGTGTGCTCCGGGATCCCGCCGCTCTGGAGAACGTTGAGATGAAACTGATCAGTTTGATCGGTATTGATTAGAAAACACGAGGTGGAAATTTCTCTGCAGCTCTGACGGAATGTTCGCCGTGTTTCTAAAGAAACAACTTAACGGGGTCCAGTGGGCAGCGGAAGCAACAACACACGAAGTTCATATGTTAAGGAGGGATAAATGGAATTAATCACAGCGGAGAGCCCGTCTTGCGGCTTCGCCAAAGTCCCGCGTGCTTCCGCGCAACTTTGGATCGTAACTCCCCGGTTGACCGCCTCTCCTCCCCCTGCGCTTAATCAAGTCCAAGTCCAGCCTGCGGCTCTGCGGCTCCGCTCCCTCTCAGCCTCCACTCTCACTCACTCCACAGGCTTCCTTTTTTTTCTTCCTGTCCCGATGTGCGCGCGAGACATAAAACAAGCTCTGATATTTCGTGCGCAAAAGGCAACTTTTAAACCACCGGAAACCACCGAACGTCTCTCTGCATGAGTTACAACAGCCGCTTCAGAGCGAAGTCAATGTGAAGCCGACAGTCGGAGGAGATCCGTGAGATCTATAGAGATCCGACAGGATCCACTCAGTGCGGGGAGACTCTTTCAATTACATGACTTTGACTCGATTTAAAGCCTCCAAGAGATACAGCTATTATTGTTTATTAATATTATTATTAATTATTTTCAGAAATCACATTTACATAACACACTTATATAATGTAAGACACATGTGAGATTCAGTTACAATCTTATATAACTCCGCGCACGTGACCCCCTGACCTCTGATGGATATTCAATTGTATTATTTTTTCTATTTATGCTTTATTACATTACATTTTATTGCTACTATATATATATATATATATATATAGTATATAATCTGCTGTTTTATTTGGACATACTGGTTTTGATGCTGATTTTTTCTCGTTTTGCAAACTTTTCTATGTTCGGTGTGAATGTTCGGTGTGAAGTTTTTGTCATTTTCAACCCTGCTTTTTTTTTTTATATATCGTCTTGAATGACAATAAACTTGAAGTTGAGTCCTGCACAAAAAGCCAAAATTAAAACAAAAGAAAAAAAGTATTTCCATCTGTTGACTGGAGCAAAAGCTGTTAAAATACACAATTAGAAAGGTGGAAGTTCTGCACTTTGGATGTCAATAAAAGGACTGAAATATCAGGGCGTACTGAAGCGTGAAAAGTACTCATTCAGCAGTTTGAGGCCCCGCTCAGAGATGAAACCAAACAGTATTACAATGAGATGTAGGTGTACTTCAGTAGCTGCCAGATACATGGAGAAGTATAAATACGGTGTATTTGTGTGATCACAGTGAGGCTCCTCTGGTCTCTGCAGATGTTGAAACTCCCGATGAACCGAGCTGGTGGAGCCAGTTTAACAGCGCCCCCTACACACCACATCCACACAGCTTGTACAGTAAAACACGCAGAAAGAAGTACTTCAACCGAAACACATCAATAAATGAACATTTGGAGCTTTCACAAGATAGTGATAAAATGTTGAAAAATCCCAAATTACATGTTGCTGGATTGAGCATGGGAGCTTTTAAATGACACAAAAAGCCACCTTTAAAGGATCCTAAAGCCTCACCTGATGCATGTAAAAGCCTTTACGGGGACATAAGAGGAACGTTGGTCCGTAGACAAGTTACCATCAAAACCCGACGAGGCCTCACACACTCTGCGGGTCCATATAGGACCGTTAAAAGACGATACAAGAGGAGCTCAAACTCCACAAACAGAAGCATAAATCACCTCCGAGAACCGCAGATAAGCTGTGAAACTCCAGACGGAGATATTGTCTCAGTATTTCAGACTAGAGACACCGCAAGAGGTAGAAACACCACAATGAAGTTCCGGTTACGCTCACGCACGTCCCGTCACACAGAAGGACCGCAACAATATGGGACATAAAGTACCACAATCATTAGAAACTCACCACAGCATATGGAAGAATATCAGAAGAGATTCAACTACCATTACTGACACACTTTGAGTACTTTACTCAAATACTCAAATGTCATATTGATATTTTGGGAGATAAAAATGTAATAAAGTCAAATAAACTGACTAATAGGTGCAGTTGACACCTTGTAAATCCCTGAAATGGAACATGAGTTGAATAAGGTCACTATAAACAGACAGAACCGACATGCAACCCTACAGAGAATATTAGGAATATTGGAAGAGGTAAGAACATGGACTACTCAGACACACAGGGATATTATGAGGTTATTATTTCGAAATTATAGGTGATAAAAGTGCAACAAAGGGACTAATAAGTAAAGTGGTGCCTTTAAAAATCCCTACAGGATTATTGTAAGTAATTTAAAATTGTAATTTAAGAGAGAAGGGAAATAACAGACATGATCAATAATTGGACCACAAAAAATATATTAATAATAATGTCGAAAGAAAGACAACAAACTCCTTAATTAACTAGCACCAAAGACACTGTAGGAATATTACAGTATCACATTTTATTGAATTATAAGTGTTATTAAAGTGTTGTTAAGTATTGTATGGATATCATTGTGATATAAAGCACAATTAAATCTACTGTTTATCAAAGCCATCACATAAGAGATAAGATATCATATAACACAATAAAGTCACCATAAACTTAATGACACGCGCACATTTCTAGGACCGCACAGACTCGCTGTATAGCGTCACTTTAGGGCACGTGAACCTCTGCACCGCCTCCAACTGCGGCAGAGCCAATCAAGAGCGGCGACGCCAGAGCTACCGCCGCTTACCGCTCCACGATTGGACAGAACCGAGGGATTTGAACGCCAGAGTCGCGTCTGATTGGACGGTGAATTAAGGTAAAACAGGGAAAAAAGAGGAATACGCGCACACGAGAACACGCTTGTTCACTGCATTCCATTTACGGCCACAACATCTGGTACTACCAACAATAATTACAATAATAGTAATAATAATATTACAATTAATAATAATGATAATAGAGGAAGAGACAGACATGGTGTTATGGAGGTATTGTAGAGTTATACTCTAGTTATAATACCGTTATAAAGACTATACTTCCGTACCATTGCAAATATAAGAGGTGCAGGTGAGAAACCTTCACTCGGGATGCTTCATGTCCGGCAGCAGAGTCAGTCTCTGAGGAGCTCTATTGGAAAAATAATCCATAGAGAAAATAGTGTGACTGCAGTCTTGGCACGGCAGGCCCACCGGCTTCTCTCTGTCTGTTTGTTTGGTTTGGTTCGGCTCGGCTCGAGTCGCAGCAGACTTTACAAAAGTTGCATGACTTCAGTCGTTTTTAAAATGTGTTTGTTTGTTTTTCTCCGCAGTTGCTCCTCCCCCCTCTCTCTCCTCCTCCTCTCCTCCCTGTCCCGCTGGATCCACATAACCCGGTTCAGCTCGGTGTGACCCCGGTGCAGCATGCAGCGCTCGTAGATCAGCCCGGCTCCGTGCAGCGGGGAGCCGCTACAGCCCCCGCGGAGCTGCGTGCATCCCGCTGCGGGCGGCGGGGAGCGCTCCCTCCCGGCCGAGACGCGGAGTCGGTGCGCTGGCCGCGGCTGCTGCTGCTGCTGATTTAGAAGGGCCGCTGCACAAGGCTCCGTTCCTCGCATGAAATGTTGATGAGAGCCGCGCTGTGATGACCGTGCCTGCGGGTGTGAAGGGGGAGGAAACCAAACTGCTGTCGGTGCAGATATTCGGGGGAAGCGGAGGCTCTGCAGCGGACCCGACCGGCGGAGGTTTCACGTGCAAATCAGCAGCTGCAGTCTGCTGCTGTTACCTGCTGACAGCTGAGAGTTTCACTGAACAGAGCATTCATTCCACGATTCCACATGATTTGTTTCATTTCCAATATATAGCTTAATGTTAACAAACTACACATCTTAATGTAAAAAAGAAAATTCGAAATGAACGTGACAGCTTCGAATGCAGCAGTTAAAACAACCTCACCACGAAGGCCATTTAGTAGCTGGAGCATTCGACTTCCTCAGCAGATGGAGTTTCTGCTATTTACACTTTGTTAAGGACTTGTCATCCATGAAACTCCTCTACTGATGAAGTCCGTGAGATACGATCAAAAGCTCCAGAACGGCTTCGAAGAGGACCTTGTGGCGAAAATGTTTTTGGTCAACCTTACATTTTCGTATTACTCATGCACGCATGTGTTGTTGGGAACAAAAGGGTTCAGAGTTCAACAGCAGTTGGGGATCAAACCGACAAACGTCCCGCATCCAGTCTACGTGGAGGTCTGCAGTTTGGAAGCAATGGCTGTTTTTACCAGACACTAATGGTGCGTTCACACCAAACGCGGCGCGAATTATTCGCGCGAGTAGATTACATACAGTCTATGCACAGACTGGAGTGATGCGAATTTGCGATGGCGAGGCGCGATTGATGCGAATTCGCCAAATCGCCCCAAAGGTGTGAGTTGAAATTTTTCAACTTCAGCGAAAAAATGGCGTGACACTGTGGCGCGATAGCCTATCAGCGTTGAGATGCTCCTCCTGTCATCACTGACTTCCTGCCGTTGTTGAATCAGGAAATAAATACTGTAGCCGTCTGTGTTCACCCAGAGCTCTACGATAC